CTCCGATAAGTGTATCTATTCTGGTCAGTTTAATGGTAGTAAAGTGTACCTGATACTGTATGTGGATGATGGACTAATCATTTCTAAGGATAAAAGTGTGTTAAACAAAGTTATTGATGATTTAAAGGAAAATTTTGAAATAAAAGTGTGTGAACCTAAAAACTTTGTTGGCCTTGAAATTGAAAAAGGCGAAAAATACATATTTCTACATCAGAGTACCTATGTACAGAAATTGCTGAATAAATTTAATATGATTAATGCCAATGGAAACAGTACACCAGTAGTGACAGGTATTAAATTAGAAAAGAATACATCACAGCTGGATAGAAACATTCCATACAGAGAGGCTGTAGGCTCATTGATGCATCTAGCTATAGTCAGCAGGCCTGACATAATGTTTGCGGTTAGCTTAGTCAGCCGATATCTGGATGGTTACGATAGTAGTCACTGGAATGCAGTAAAACGGATAATGAAGTATCTGAAAGAAACTAGTGATTATGGTCTGTACTATACTCCTTCACACGACAATATACTAGAATGTTATTGTGATTCTGACTACGCTAATGATATTGAAACAAGAAGGTCAATGACAGGATATGTGTTCATTAAGAATGGTGCTGCTGTTACTTGGGCCAGTCAACGTCAGCAAACTATAGCACTATCTACAACTGAAGCGGAGTTTATGGCTGCCTGTAGTGCTACAAAAGAAGTTATTTGGTTAAAGAGACTTTTGTTAGATATAGATGAATATAATCAGGATTCTGTAAAACTTAACATTGATAATCAAAGTGCAATTTCTGTCATAAAAAATGATAATTATCATAAACGATGTAAACACATAGATATTAAATATAAGTTTGTTAAAGAGAAATATGAAAGTAAAGAAATTGATCTAAAGTATATAAGTAGTAATGAGCAAAGGGCTGATATATTTACTAAACCCTTAGCTAAAAGTAAATTTCAATATCTAAGAAATAAATTAGGTATTTGTAAGATGTAACTATACTTATGAAACTTTATAAAACTTGGCTCTGACTTTGTTCAGTAATAGTATGTGTGTATAAAGTAACTACTTATTTTTGTTTGTTACTATTACTTGTTTAACTGTTAGTTAGATTGAGGAACGCTGCAATTTGGAGAGAGTGTTGTAGTAATTTGAAATTGACGCGTTCCATATAATGATAGATGACAGGTTGTTTTTGTTTTACTTTTTCTCTGCGCCATCACTGCTGTAATGTAGATTTGTTCTGTTCAATAAAACTAGATAATTAATATTAAAATCGTTTAATTACAATAAATATCAATTTAATATTCTATCTTTTATCAGGTTAAGCAAACACCGCCTGGAGAAGATGCGTCTGGACATAGCGGCGGAAGGTCAGGGCGAGAGCTACAAGAACTTCCCGGCCGGGTACTGGTGCTGGGCGCGCTCACTGCCGCACTCGCTCACCAAGCTCAACGAGGCGGAGGAGGTCGCCGCCATGCAGATATTCAAGGTACGAACTGACTTCATAACTACACTAATATTGAACCTTATTTGCAACGCATTAAGACTTATGCAAGCTTACTAAGACTTGTGGTCAAAAATACTTTTGGGCGCAAGAGTTAAAAAATGACTGCCTCATTGGCCGAGTGGTCGATAGTGCGACTGCTGGGCAAGGGGTCTCGGTTTCGATTTCCGGGTCCGGCAAAGTGTTACTCGTTTTATTCTAAATTTCTCAGTAGTAGCCAGTGCTCAATATTCCAGACTCAATAGTCTGGAATATTGCAATAGGCTCACTCCCTATTACATGGGACTTATACCATGAATAGTGAAAAGTGAGTGTTCCATTGTACAGTGGTATTAAGTGCCGTAATATGCACCTCTGCCTACTCCTTCGGGGACAAAGGGGATGTTATTAAAAAATGACTAGTGAGTAGTCAGTCTATACCTGAGTAGTAATTTTTGAACATTTGAAGTTAATTTTATTCGTGTCGTGTAGAGACAAAAGTTTGTAGGAATAAAATTATTATTATTATTGTAAGTTTGTAGTCAAAGAAGTATGAGCCTTATGTATAATACACAAAAGTACTTGATTACCAGGACATAATGAGCCACGCGGGTCTGACGGCGTCCCCCGAGGGCAGCAGTACGAACCTGGCCAACAACAACAGCGTGTCGCAGGAGTCGGACAGCGACGACCGCGTGGCGCTCGCGCAGGCGCTGCTGCAGCGCTGTCTGCAGAAGGACACGCTGCTGTGCGAGCTGTACATGCAGCTTATTAAACAGGTAATTACCCCACTGTAGGAAGGGTATTGTTTCTTACTTATTTTCCTGATATCAAGAATTAATATAGGTTTGGACGCCAGCACCAACACCACGAACATTGTTTTTTGGTCACCTTTAAAATATCCATGTAAGATTTTCGTCGATTTTTGTCGTGATAGTACTTATAAGAAAAGATAAAGTTTGCGAGATGTTATCGGGACTCTGTTTCTTTATTATTTATTTATTTAAGCTTCATGCACAAAGTGTACATAAGGTGGATTTAATGCCGCAGGCATTTTCTCCCAGTCTGAGCTTTGGGTGATACAGAGAAGAGTTAATGGTGTAAGCAAGAAGCAAGCAACGAATTAATTGAGCAATTAAAATTATAATAGATACACTTACATATTTCAGTGGTAAACATAAATAAACATAATTATAAAATATATATACCTACACATGAGTACAATAAACTATGCATACATGCATTCATACATATATACATACATACTCTATTTTACATACATATATACATACATAACTTCACGAGACTATGGAATGTCAATTACTACGATTCCTACACACCTCTTTCGCTTTTGTTGCATTTTTGAACATGTGAAAGTGCTACCCAAGTTAGGTTAAAATAAAATAATAAATAATCAAGTGGGTATTACATGAATGTACAGTTGAATCCAACGTATGTCCGTACAGACGACGGAGCACCCGGAGCCGTGCTCCCGCGTGTCTGCGCGGCACTGGGCGCTGCTGTGCGCGGCGGTGGGCGCGGCGCTGCCGCCCGCCAAGCCGCTGCGGCGCCTGCTACTGGCGCACCTGCGGTACCGCGGCACCGCGCTGCACCACGGCGAGGACGGCAAGTTCGCGCGCCGCGCCGAGCAGGTACGCGCCCCTACATTTTAATGTCCGTCTGGTACATTCATTTAACACATTACACACGTATTTTTTTTCTTTTCTAACAAAATTACATACTTTCGAATGATATATCGTGTGACGTCGTCTTGACGTAACGACCTCCCACTCCTAAACTTAACGCCATTTTATCTAAGTATTGTAACTTTATACGAAAAAATAAAAAAATACGTGTCTAATATTTTTTCATTATCTACCTGACGGACTAATTAAATTTTTTCATTTAATACCCTGGCAACTACCATATTACTCAACTACCTACCTTATATTTGATGACTTTGGGATGTAAACTAAAGCCCTTCATAAAACCTACTTCATGATGCTAAGTAAACTTGAAATATAATCGCTCGGCTTTAAGATTGAAGCCAAAAAGTGCACAATGTTATTAAAAAGGTTGTATAGGATTTCCTTGAGTGTCATTGATATTTTTACAAAAAAAATTGCATAATTACTTCACATATACACAGAAAAACTATTTCATGAACTACCGACAAAAATAATTCCATACGAAATACGAAACATTTCAGCTCAACTGCAAATCTTGGCAAGTATGCAAGTCGCTTTTAAATTCTTCCCTTAGTAACCGGCTTCGCTTAACCTTTACGCTTGCTCTACAGATAGCCCACTGGCCCCCCTACCATCCCTTACACCAAACAGCTTACAATACCGAGCCCGCCCATCATCCCTTCTGTAAATATTATCACTTCGACCCATAATGATACATCCATAGGAGAGGGTAAGATTACGGCCTCATTTTAGAACAACCAAAATTAACTAAAAATTGCGGATTACTCACGTGAATATACTGAGAAAAGCTCTCTAGTTATTATAAAAACATCGATTAAATGACAATGACCAAATTTGTATGGAGCGTGGTGCCTTTTCATTTTTTCGCGGCAGTTGATCGGATGTGGATAAACTGATGCAGAATAACATTACAAACAAAAAAATGTATGGGGTCTTATATCAAAAACACAGTCCAAACCGAGTTAAATCAGTTCAAAGATGTAAAAATAGTGCTATATAATTCCTGTGATTTTGTTGATGGTGACCGTACAACGCATATTTCTTCATTTACTTGTCAGAAATATTTTGTAATAAATGTTTATAGACGATTTCAAGGAATATAATAAAGCTTATTGAGGACTTTTGTAATATTTTTTTTTTGTTAATTCTTTTTTTTATTTTTTTTTTATAAGGCCACGGAATCAGAACAGTGTGAACCATTAACACTGCTGAAGAAAAAAAAACATTTCGTTTCATTGGCTAGCGTGTTCAATTTATATGTATACGGTTTATGGCCTATGACAGATTTTCATGACCAATTTCCTCTTAGTCAAAAACCCGCAAAATACTTTACAGAGCCCTATCATGAAATGCTATGATTGTCAGCTGCGGCGTCGATAGCAGATTGAGTAGTAACAGTCGTCAAAACACGAAAAAAGCATTTTTCTGTCTAGTTCTCCCGACTTACTGCCGATTAGTAACTAATCTAACTACATTTAATACTTTAATCTACAACTAGCATAAGATTCTGTACAAAGACATCGTCATTCAGTCACAAAGTGATGCATTTCGAATGATCACATTATATGAAAAATTATGCGCTCAACTGACGTATAGTCCATCACTTTACAAAGTCGACGGTTTGCTTTCTTCAAAAGATTATGCTAACTATAAAGTAGATGAGTCTCCCACCAGGAGTCAACGGCAAAAATACTTTATTAGATGTTTGGACGGCTACAACTACTCAACCCACCAATGGTACCACAGCTGACACTCATGAAGCTTCATGACACAACTCCTAGAAGCATCCCACAGTTGCGTTTGCGAACTTGATTCGTGCGAGCGTATATACTTACGCTGCTTGATAAATCGGTTTCGCGATTAGTGCTACACAAATAAAGTTTATTGATATTATTGATATTACCTAATTATGGAGAATGAAGAAGAAGAAAGTAGTGATAATATGGAGATAATACGTACTTGTGAAAGTGATTTGGATAAATCATTAGAACCAACAATAGTCAAGAAGTCAATATGTCAAGAAGTAATCAAAGAAAATGTAAAAAAAGCAGCTGAGAAGAGAAAAGAGAGAGGGAGTGAAATAAGTGATGATGATGACTTTATTACTGTAAATAGAAGGAGACCTAAACGATTAATTAGAAGCATATCAATTGAAACACAAAATGACAAGGAGGTAGACGGAGAAAAATTTAATGATTTAAATAACACCACTCAACCCGAAGTATGTGTAACATCTTTAGAAAACATACCCAAACAGATGGCATTAGCTAAATTATTAAGATCAGAAAACATAACAAATGTAACTAGAATAAAATATAAAAGTTTTAATAAAGTTATTATTCAATTTAAAGAAAAAAAGGATGCACTTAAGTTATTGGAATGTGAAAAATTTAAAGATATGGGATGTCGATGTCAATTAATAGATGAGTTGTCCCTATCCTATGGTGTGGTTAAAGGAGTAGATCTGGAATTACTTGAAAATGAGCTAAGGAATATATTTGAAAGTGATACTGAGATAATATCCGTAAAGAGATTGCGACGTATAGACTCGGAAGGTAAATGGATTGAAAGTGAATCCGTGAGAATCTGTTTTAAAAGCAATCATCTACCGAATTATATATATGCCTATGATTGCCGACTTAAGGTTGAACCGTATGTATTTCCTGTTACACAATGCTCTGGTTGTTGGAAATTTGGTCACATAATAAAGTACTGTCCAACAAAAAAAAAGATATGTCCAAAATGTGGGGGCAATCATGATAATTGTGATACAACTAAAATATCATGCCTTAATTGTAAGGGAAACCACTTCGTATTGGATAAAAACTGTCCGTTTTTTGTAAAAGAAAAGAATATAAGAAAAATTATGAGCACTGAACAAGTCACATATAGAAAGGCCCTTCAGATATTAATAGAACAGCAACAACAACAACGTAATACTTGTTTACATAATAACTTGCGAACTTCAATGGACACACACTTAGACAGTGACGCGCCGGCAACATTTAGTAGTATATTAAAAAAATCAGTGCAAAATTATGCAGTAAGTCCTAATAGTAAGATCATACAGAACAAAAGCAGAGACAATCCAATGCAAAAAAAAACAACTCAACAGCAAGAGATACCTCAGGAAATACTATCTATAAATAATAACAATAACAACCATGGCGAAAAAACCACTACAAAGAAAAAGCGGTATAGGAATGAGACATTAATGGAAGAAGATATCGATAGTTATGACTCACAAAATGAAGAACAAAACTATCAAAGAGATGAACACTTACTAAACAAATTTGATTTTAAGAAATTTATAATTAAGCTGAATAGAATATTTGTGTCAGATAAATCATTTGAAGATAAAATATTATCACTGTTTAAAATTGTATATGAAGAATTCAAGAAGATTATAATAGGTTGTTTTATGAAAGGAAACGTCCTTGATAAAATTATTAACTTTATTAATGGATAATTCAAATAAATATGTCAAGGTCAATATAATTCAATGGAATGCACAAAGCTTACAACCTAAGCTAAGTTCGTTTACAGATATATTACAAAAACTAAATATACATATTGCAATCGTGAGTGAAACATGGTTAGATAGTGAATCTAATATTCATGTAAGTGGGTACAATATTTATCGAAAAGACAGAATAGATTCCTATGGCGGGGTTGCGATTTTTGTGCATAAATCCATACGATCACATTTTAATTCATGTCAACTTTTGAATACTGGTATAGAAGTAGTAAGTGTTAAATTAGTGAACTGTGAAGATTTAGAAAATATTGTTTCTTTATACTGTCCATCTTCTGTGTCTACGCAGCCGTCAGACTGGGAACAGGTATTTTCATTATTTTCGGAAAAGTCATTAATTGCTGGAGATTTCAATGGCCACCACGTCAATTGGTCAACTAGAACTGATACAAGAGGAACTCATTTAATGGACTCCTCTCTTGAAAGTAATTTTATTTATCTCAATGATTCTAATCATACAAGAATTAAATTAGTTAATGGATATTTGCAGAAAACGTCTCCAGATATATCTTTTGCCTCCTCTGACATTGCTATAAAAATTAACTGGACAGTAATCAATGAAAATTTAGGTAGTGATCATCTTATGATTAAAATGTCAATAAATATCCCTAATAATT